ATGCCAGACCCAGGAAGCACAAGTGTATCTGAGATGCAGGACCTGTCTGTCCCTTTCCATGGTTCAGTACTGCTTGGACTTTCAAAACAACTGTAGCAACAAGATTGCTGTAGATTTTCACCGTGTGGCTGGAGGGACGGATGTGCTCTCTGCATGCTAACGGCAGTCTCTGATTCCCTTGCAGGAGGATCTTTCGATCAGCATTTGATTTGGAAGCACTGTGTGGGACATACGATCCTCCCAGGGAGAGTTTAATGCTTTCTTCCCGTCAAAAGCATGAGGCTGCATCCTGGGGTCAGGATGTCAGTGGCATGTGGGTGACACCGAACGCTGAAGCCTGCGTGTCAGTCAGGTCTTGGAAGAGGCTGTGCCCTGTCTGCGGCACAGACACGTTCGCCCTCTCTGAAGGGAGGTCCTTGTGCACGTAGCCATGAATTCAGTGTTTTCCAGGTGGCTGTGTTTGCTCTGCGCCAGATGAATCCCAGTGCTGTAAGACACGTGTCCCTGTTCTGCTTCCTGAAGAGATGCATCTGCTGCTGTCAGCTTCCAGGTAGGACACACAGGAACCCCCTCTCTCAGCATCTGTAGCCTTTGGCCTCTGCTGGCAGTCAGGCATCCGAAGGAAACTAGAAGTGACCTAAGGCTATTTTTTTTTGCTAATCCTTGGTCAGTGTTGCAGATGGAGAAGCAATGGCAGTTTTCCAGCAGGTGAGGCCCTCCAGGCCAGCTCACCAGACAAGAACAATAAACACAGGAAGCAGCATCCATGCAATAAGATCACACAGAAAGGAGAGGCCGGGAGAGCACTCTGCTGTGTGTGTGTCATGTGTGTCGGGGGGAGCAAGGAGCTCGGAGCTCGCTCTAACAGGAGCAAGCAGATGTCAAGCCTTAACACGAAGGGAGAGGTTACTGCTTGGACAGAGAGGAAAAAGGAGGTTTCTGCTTTGGCCAGACAGAATAGCAGTTACCCTCCAGGGTACAGGGTTTGTGAAGACCTCCAGTCTAGATGTGGGGTGAGATAGTGCTTTGTTCGGGGCAGAGACGCTGATTATCTCTGCTCCACCTGGATGTTACTCTTGTTTTTCTGTCTCAAAAGCAGTTCTGAAGGTCTCAGTGTTGGTGGAAGCTCTGCTTTGTCTCACCTGTGAAACCCATTCCCTGAACTCCTCCTCTTGGCCTCTGTTTTGTGTCCCATCCCCCCAGACCCCCTGGGCTTATCAGAGCCTCTGCATTGCTCAGAGCTTGCCCCTGATGGTACGGCTGGGTAGCTTTGTGGTCAGGCATCTGCTGGCTCCATCCCTGTGCTCAGCAAGATGGAGAAGCCACCTGTGGAGCCCAAAATAGCCTCTGCCTGGGCAATCCAATGCAAATGCTGTTGATAGTGGTGGGGGATTCCCATGCCTCATAAAGAGGCTTTTGTTGGGAGGATCTAAGCTGAGCTCCAGGCCTTGCCAGCTGTGGAGAGGAGCAGATGGATCTGCAGTGTAAAAATAGATTGAAGCAGACTTGTTCTGCCTCTTTTCTGCACCAGTCCCAGAGGTGCCTGGTCAGCTGAACCAGAGCAGAGAACTGGGTGCTTTGCAGCTGCCAGTCTGCCTGGAGCCCATTAGCTAATGTCAGAGACAGGAATTTCTCTCTCTTCAGTCCCATTCGCCTTACAGCTGCTGTGTGGACAATCTTGTTTGCTCACAGCTATTGGCAGCTTGTTACATCCCATCGCCCTGGGGCAACACAAGCAGGAGAACAGGGCATTTCTGTGAGACACCATGTTCCTTCTCTGTTATACTTTGCCTCAAGAAGTAGAGGTATCAGGCTGTGGCTGTGTCCTCTGGATGAGATCTCTGTACAGTACCTAAGGAAATGTGCTGGAGACATGCACCACTGTGTCATGGGCATGGTTTCAACTGGCTGATTGGTAGATTTTGCAGCAGTCGATCCCTCTGTGTATTGCACATCGAAATCTCACCTCCTCCCACCCTCAGCTACAGGGGGAACATTTCAGAGTGGTATGATCTGTCTTGTTGCCTTGGCTGCTTGTTCCAATGCCATAAGTTTGTACCAAAGCTCTGAGGTTAAAACACCCTTCAAAGGCATCTGAGGTTCGTTGTCCTTGGTCTCTCATGTAGAAGAAAATGGGATGTCCCCGGTGGCTATGTCCTGGCCCAGGTGTTCATCCCAGCACTTTCCATCTAGGCTTAGGAATTTTTCAACTCTAAAATACAATGGTTTTAGCGCATGAAAGGAATGCGAGGCTACATCAGTACTCAGAACGGAGCAGGCAGGATGCGGTCCTTTTGCATTTTGCCTGCAGAGCACTGCTGGCCCATCAGTCCTGAGACCTGTGTTTGCACAGAACGCCCTGCTCAGTTGGCATACCCACTCCATCCCATCCTGCTAACTGAGTAAGGATCACATAGATGTTTCCTGAATGGGCTTTCGTAAGGCACTAATTTGATACACTCAGGGCATCTTCCTGTAATGAATGTTCCTGAGGTAACTGAAGGTGAATTTGCCTGTGTGGGTGTGGGGAACAGGGCGGGACTGCTGGCAGAGATAATGGGAGGAATAGAAGAAAACCTTTTTGTTCCATAAATCCTGAGTTTCTTGTGTCTGTCTACACTTCCTGTCTCCCCAGCTTCCACCTGTGCTGTGTTTTGAAGGTGGCTGCCCTCTTCCTCTCCTCCTCATTTTTTTGGGGTATTTTTTCCATTTAATCTTGTGCATCTGTTCTGCTGATTTTTCATTTTTGCTTTTTGTTTCTTTGTTCTTTTCTTCCCTTCTGCCCTATGCTTTCCTGCTTCCTGAAAAGCTGGATGCTGTGTTCTGTAAGGGAGAGGCACTGAGGCTGGCCATATCTCTCTGCACTGGCATCCCAGGATATACGAGCCGATTCCCTGCTATTTCTTTGAGGGAGCCGTATAGGAGCAAGAAGGAAAGCGGGTGCAAAGAACAGCAGCATTAGGAGAAACCAGGTCAGATGGGTGAAGAGGTGGCGTGCGGGCAGGCAGGGCCATCTTGCTGAGAAATTTCCAAGAGGCTGCAGATGACACCTTTGGAGATGACCGCTCCTTCGGTTGAACCCGCGCTCCTCTTTGTGCTTTGCACTTCTCGAGCACTGCTGAGGTAGCCTCGCTTTTTGCCTCAGACACTGCCTTTTTCTTTGTACCAGAGGAGTCTGACACAGAAGGTCTTTACAGTTTGCAGACACTTATGCTGTGAACCTGAGATATTGCTCTTATGGTATTGATATGGCAGAGGGGCTCAGGGTGAGAGGTGGGGGAAGAGCCTGGGTTTTTGCTTCTGAGACTTGTGCTGGAATCACAGCACCAGTACCTCCAGTCCTGGGCCTGAGCTCTCCCAGAACTTTGCCTATATTCGCTGCCTTGGCAGATCTGCTTTCCAGTCCATGCCTACTCTTTCTGCATTTTTATTTTCAGCCTCAGAGAAGTAAAAGCTTTGTAGCCTCTGCCTTCCTGCCCTCTTCTTACCTTTCACTTAAGAATCGCGTCCTAAAATGTCTGCTCAGCCACCAGCTCTAAAGCACTTGTTGGTCCACGCCGACAGGCTCCCCATGCCATGGCAGCCCCAGCACCCGCGCAGTGCCATTTTCCCGTGTCCCAGGACCCCTGCCAGCTGCCCGCTCTGGGCTCCCCTCCACTGCTCGCTGGCACAGCTGGATCTATCCCATCAGCACATGCCATTCTCAGTAGATCCTGGATCCCAAAAGTCACCCCGACTGCCTGAGTGCTCAGAAGATGGCTTTGTCCTATATTTCCCAGCACTACCACAGCTTAAATCTTCAGTGCACACACTTTTCCTATACATATGCAGGTTGCTTTAGCCAAGGAAGCAGACAGCACTGTTGTTCAAGTGGAGGGAAGGCCTCCAGCCTCAGTCCTGCTATGATAGCTTCTCCTGAGGAATATTCTCCTTGATCACAGACTCCTGTGCTCTCATTTGGTGCGGGGAGTCAGGAAATAGCGGCAGCACCGAGCCTTTCCACTTATTTACGGCATTTCCTTCTGCTTGCCGGGGAAGAAGAAAAGGGCTGTCTAAGGGGTTTGGTTTTTCTGCGCAAGCTGGATTGCAAAGTAGAGGCAATTGCTGTCCCTCTAACTTGGGAAGCACGTGATGGGGAAAAGGTAACTTCTGGAGCCTGGGGACTTGGAGTTTTCCGTACAGGTCTAGAAACCCTGGCTTGTCAGAACTGCAGACAACAAGCCACCCATGATGTGGCAGTAAACAGACTCGGAAGCATCTGCCTTGCATTTCAGTAGCGCAAACCTGACATTTCACCTCTGACTGTTTCTTTCTTTAGCTCCTTGACTTTTGTATTTACAGAAATGTTTCAGCCACTCACTTGTTGGGATTCAGCTCATACAATGGCCGTCTCATCTCCAGTGACTGTCACAGGAGGTCTCCGTCCTTCATGGGGCAGCTCAGTGTCGCACCCTCATTCCACAGCTGGAGGCTGTCGGAGTGCAGAGGTGGGAGGGAGCCGGCATGGGTATTTCCAGCAGCACAGCACGAAAGGTGGGACCAAAAACTGGTGGCTCCAGCAGTCCAGTCCAGACCTCGCTTCCATCTTCACATCCCCAGTGAAACTCTAGATACAAACCAGAATCTGGACTAAATGCATGTTTTGATCGCCATGTTTGTGCCTGATGCGCTTGGTGTGGGCTGTTAGCGGCCAGGCTGTACAGAGGGGAAACAAGCTCTGAAACACAGCCCTTCTTAAGCCCCAGATCTGGGCATCTAACTTGGTGTAATAGTTCAGCAGTGTTTGTACTGCAAGTGCAGCGTGTGTATGCTTGTACCTGTCTTTTTTTTTTCTGATGACCACTGAGGGTCATTTTTGCTTCTATTTTTCGTTGTTAACCTCTGACCAGGTGCTTGAGCTGGAGGACAGGGAGCAGGGAGAGCTCCCTCTGCTGTTTGAGAGCTTTCAGGTTCCCAATTAATTCGCTCCCCACTCAGATGAAATGTTTTGGCAGGTGGAGATGACACTGGAAGCTGTTCAGCCTATAGATGACTCTGTGAAGGACCCATCTAAAGTACAACTATGGCGGTTAACATGCAAGGTGCAGGGCATCTCCCAGCACCCTGTGAGTAGCTCTGCTGGCTTCCGTGGCACTGTGGTCACAGCCTGTGTGCGAACGTGAGTTCAGGTTTGGACACAGTGTGATATACCAAGGGATGGACATTGCAGTTCTGGTATTCAGCAGAGGAGGGACTAGACTGGGGAACACTCGTGCAAGAGGTCTACCCCAATTAATTAACATTAGTGCTGTGTCATCCTGTGGGAGGCCAGACGAAACAAAATCCTGCTCAGTTTTGGGTAGAAAGCTCAGGTCTGCAAAGCAGCTTGTTCTGCTGACTTCTCCAGTCATTTACTTCAGGCAGGTTTCCCCACTTTTAAAGGAGACAATGATGGAGACTCAACTGTCTTCACCAGGACACTCCTCCCCAAGGTGACACTGGCTTGACTCAGCATCAAGCCCTTAAGGAGGTGCTAAGAAGTCAGGTGGGAATGGGGCAACCACAAAGGATTTTTAAAAGCAATTAAGAAACTTAAGAGCAAAAGTGCTTCCACATTACTCTGAATGTCGGGCTTATTAAGGGTATTAGCCAAGTCCTTATTTGTTTTGGTGTATCCTGAAAACGTCCCAACTAGTTGAACTGGCCAGTGCCTTGCCAGAGTGCTTGCAGCAAGCTGGGTGGCAACTCTTCTCTTTGCCTTGGGCAGCTCAGTATGGCCTCTCACCACAGGCTTGTGAGGCCTCCTTTTCCTTTTGGAGGGTCTTCCCCTTTGCTTGCTTCCTTTTTTTTTTTCCCCAGCACTCTCTCTATGCAGACCACATTTTGGAATTGTGCTCAGGAAGACATTCCTGTGTTTCTCAGCTGTAACATAATCGATGCTTTGTTATGGTATTTCAGTTAGGTGCTCCTGAAGGGTGAGCGACTCTGGTCAGGAGCAACAAGACTTTCTTGCTCTGTTCACTGGCCTGGCAACTCATAAAAGTGCTATTTTTCTTCACCTCAGTTAAACTGCTAGCATGTCCCAGCATGCACAAGACACAGAGGCTCAATAAACCCAAAGGGCTTATTGTTAAACAAGGTAAGTCATCCTAAGAGGCTGAGCATTAGATGGTTTTCAATGCTTCCCTCTGTTCTTTGTCAAGGATCAGGCAGCGTGGTGATGTGGCAGAACAGTCCATAGCATGAGTGGAAAACACTGTGTTCCAGTTTTCTGTCAAGGCCCAAGAACAGCCACCTTGGTGCTTCCTGTGTCTGACTGATGCTGAACCATCAAAGAGACATTTTCTGTGGGTTAAATTGAGCTCTCTGCTTCTCAAATATTTCTTTTGCTGTTAAGTTTGGCCCTTGCTTTGCTAGCAGCTGGACACATTGAACAAGATAAAAAAGAATACAGTCTAAAAAAAATAGACATAGAAATAAGACAAAGGAGTAACAGAAACAACAAGCATGGATTTGATCATGTGTCTGAGTTCATCCAGACCATATGGAAGCTGTGCAATTTAAGCAGGCAGCTGAGAGATGAAATGGTAGTCATTTTAGAAGTTTTGTTTGAGTGTATGAAAGTAAGTGAGAACATACTTATAGGCCAAGCATACGTGGGTGAGGGAAGCTGAATCACTGGCAAATCAGAGGCAGGAGGAAAGAATGGGATGCGGAGGTCTAAACTGGGAAGGTTTATTGCCTGGGACAGGAAGATTTTGCCTAATGCATGAGGAGGTGGAAAGGTGAAGAAAGGCCATGGGCATACTAATTACTTGCAAATTGCACTATGGCACCTTTCCATTTGCCCAGTTTTAGCCATTGTTTGGTGCAGGCAGCAACACGTGCATGCCACATCCATCCCTCCATCCATCCATCTTCATGATAGCTGGGTTAAATTGCACAATCATTATGAACAGCATTTGCAGGCAACTCTTATTGCTGCTCCCAGCCTCTGCCCAATAATCTGTGGCTCCAGGGTCTGGGCACTAACGTTTTGAAACTGTGGTCAATCGGAGGGTATTTTTATGCTGCTGCTTCACTGTGTTGTAAGTAAGCATTCTTCTAGGACTGGTAATTCAAGATCTCCTGATTCATCATGACTAGAGAATGCTTCTTTGTACCTGTAAGAAGTGAGGAATCCTTCCACTAAGATTTTGCTTCTAGCCTTGGGGAGAACTTCCACGCCGAAAACTACAGCTTTGGTTCCCAGGTAGTTTGGTATTGGTTTCTAAGGAGGGTTGCTTACGGTGGAAAATTACACTGCGTTAGAAGGAAGCTTTGAAGACCTGTAAAAGTTAACATGCAATTTAGCACAGAACGTGAACAGAGAATTGTGGACCAGCAGGGTGATAGATAGTGTACCATATTTTCGTACACTGAATGCAAGGTACAAGTGAATCTCATCAGTGTTGCAGTTCCTCAGGACCAAAGCTTTACATGATGGCTGATCAGCCCTTTGGTATAATTGCTTCTTCCCTCCCAAAGCCTGAACATCTGGAGTTGTGGTGACAAATGCAATCCAGAGAGGAAATGAAGAATGGTGCCCCTGTCTATTAGAAAAGAGGCTGGGTATGGTCTGAGCCACAGCACATGTAAGAGCCGCTCTGGCCTCCCCCAGCTGTCCCATCCCACAATAACAGTACCACTGCTGCTCTCCTCTGTTGGGAACTGCTGCTCACAGTGACTGCTTCTCAGCTTAATCATCTTTAAAAACCCCTCTGCCGTCATCTGTAAAAGGTGATGCACCAGCCACTCTCAATGGCAATTACTGATATTAAACCCTACCATTCTGCCCTAATATCAGTTTATTCATTAACTTTCTATGTTTTAGGTGCATGTCTGTTAATTTTCACCTCCCACTGCCCACCTTTCTGGGGAGAACGTGCAACCCTTGTGTTATAGGATCATAAAAACCCTATAGCTGGAGAGGATGGAGCAGTAATAAACACAGTCTTCCTGGGACAAGTGTGAATTCTGGTGCCGACTGGAGGAGCCATACAGACCCTACTCACACATCTTCACCTCTGCTTGGCGTCCCTGAGAATGCTCTGCTGAGTCAGGGTGAGGAGGGAAAGGTGGATGGGTAGGTTAGGTGTGTATGTGCTCTTCCCTGATTTTTCTGATTAACGCGGGAGGAGAAGGCTGAGAATGCTGTGCTGGAGGGACTTCCAAAGGCACAGCCTGGCTTGATGGAGGCTTTTAAATAGTATTTTATTTTATTCAGTTCCTGGAACTGAGCTGATGCTGGTTGTCATTATGCCGGACCAGGAGGAACTGAACTGAGCATCAATGTATTTGTGAGTGATGTGCTTGTGACCGCTTCTCGTTGTGGAACAGAAGATGTAAAAGGTGAGTAAGAAGGTAATTATACATTGATATGAAGCCTCTGCAGGTTCCCTTTTGCTCTGGAGACCGAATCGAGTGTGTGTTGGGGGAAGATGTGCTGTAGCATTGCCTTTTGCCAAGTAGGGTCTTTTTTTCTGCTACCCCGATAACAGAAAAAGAAAAGCTCCTTTATTGTCACCAAGTGCCATGAATAGCCTATCTGATCAGTTAGAGATTTGATTTGGTGAGGAGGCTCTGGGCTAGTGATTTATGGGACAATGTGCTACCCCAGCTCTTTACCCTGCATGGCCTAGTTACACGTCACACACCCCTGCCACGCTCCCTCGTTCCCTGCTCTCCTCTTTCTTACATCTGTGAGCAGACCATGCCTTGCAGATGATCTGTCTAGGGAGTGTGTGTGACATTTCCCTCCAGTTCACACGACTCTGGGGATGTTTGTTCCCTCACTAGTTAGTTATGAGATCCTGTGAAAATGTAGGGCGTGAGGTAAGTGGAAATCTCCAGGCATGCAAATAATGGGGGCTATGTATTGTTTCCGAAAACATTTCTTTCTGCGGTGTAAAAAGGAGAAGGGTCAGGGTCTTTCTCACCCAGAGTTGCTTCTTGGAGAGAAGCAAGAGCTAGTTCTCATACTGTTGCCAGTGATTTTGTTAAGTATTCCCCCAAGAGGTCCTACATATCTTTGATGCAGGCTCATTTGTTTGTGTGTTGGCTGCCTCCATCCCCATCAGTGGTGCTTTCTCTCTCTCCGTCTCTCTCCTCTCCCAGTGCCTTCTACCCCTACCAACTTTAAATAAAATCTTTTGAATAATCTTTGCTGACACAAGCTGCCTTAGCTGTAGTTGCTGCAGGGATTGGGAAGGCTCCTCAAGCAAGGAATGTTCAGTCCTTGGGGTCATGGAAACCAGCCAGGAATTTCTGCTCTCCCATTCCCAGGGGCATGAGGAGCCTGCAGAGGAAAACCAAAGGTGACCATTTGCTCAGTTTAAATGTCATTGACCTGAATTGGAGATGTTTTCCAAGACTTTTTAAGATCAAGAGAGCAGTTCGGGAAATATGACTGATATCTTGATGGTGGAGAAGTGATAATTTCAAATTATGGAGTGTTGCAATACGATATAGGAAATTGTCATCTAAAAAAAAGAAAGCATCAGGCACTGTCTCTTTCAAGCCTTCAGAGCTTTTTTTTCCAGCCACTTGATACACGTGTGTGCCTTGTTCAGTGAGAGAGCTGGGTATTAAATGGCCAGGTATCATTTCTTGCATGTATGAACACAAAATATCAAGATAGGCTAAAAGTTAGCTATATGCCATATGATCGCTGAGGATAGTGTGTTTCTTGGAAGAAGAAAGGAGGTGACAGTGGGACTAAAGCTGTCTGTTTTCTGTAAGACTGATATTTTAACAACTGTCATGGGAGGAAGGACATGTTCAACCTAATAGGATAATGGATTAATATGTTGAATATATTGGCTTTGACACAGACCAGCTGGTGGCTGTAGACACAAATAACCTAAGGAAAACAAATTTGAAATGTTTCAGGAAATGGCCATATGCATGTGATGTAGTGGGGGGGGCAGAAGGGTGCCTTGTGTGTAAAAGAAAAAAGATAAAAGCCCCTCTCTTTGGCTGTGGGAGGAGTGTCTCACTCATTCCAGGAAAGGATGACATTCCATCCTTAATGATAGCTGGGGCTATAAATTTAGGACTGTCTTCTCCTCTGGACCCACTGAACTCTGCACTGTGAGGTTGGACCAAAGGTCCAGCAGGGAGTCTAGTTGACAAACAGAAAAATCCCCCAAACCAAACAAAAAACCCTCCTACAGTTGCTCTTAGACATTTCCTCAGACATTATTGGTATGGTAACTATTGCTGCGCAGGCACTGCCTTTGTGTTTCTAACCCACCTTGTCTTTTCATCTATGTCCAACTAGTTTAAATTTCAGTCTCCATAGACTGCTGTCCGGCAATGAAATGGTTAACATGTACTTTTTATTTCTGTCTTTTTTTTCCTTCATAAAGCCAGTCTTTGAGTTTTGGAGCCCAGTGAGATGCCTGGGTGGAAGGTAATTACTCTTCGCAGAGCTTTGATTTCAGGCTCTCTGCAGACCTCAGCAGACACTGTTGCAGCTGCTCCATTCACATGTGAATTATTTTCTTTGAAAATGTGAAAGATAGAAATGTACTTTTCTTTCTAAATTAAAGCTCAGATCCAGAACTGGAGCACGTCAGGCAAACCACAGCCAGTTGGTGGACAAATGCATAACCATACCAATAATATGATTCCTTCAGTGCCTCTCTCAGGTCATGAGTTGCATGTTTTGTCTTCAGGTAACAAGCAAGTCTGTTCTGTGCGTACAACCCAGCTGGCCAGATTTCAGTATGTTGTGTGACAACCATAACAGATGACTCCACGTTCATTCTGCTGTGGCTAGGAGCAAGACACAAAAGACCGTATCGGTGATGTAAACTGCTAATGAGCCTCTGAAAGATGACGAAGATACCTAAGATCTAGAAAAGACTCATCAATCCTCCCCTTCTGCTCTTGGTCGCTGCGGGACGTGCACTCTCTCCGTCTCTCCTTTAAAAGTCTTTAGCTCGTGCCATTACAAGTCAGCAAGCATTCCTATGTGCTCAAGCAGAAGGATAGCAGAATGTGTTACACTTTTCATAAACGCAGCTTCCTTCTTCCTCATTTGCCAGCAGCATGTCAGCAGCACGTATCACTTTCTTTTGCAAGAATGGCTTTGGTAAAGGTACACTAATGAGCTGTGCTCCATTGACGAGTTATTTCTGGCACAGACAGAGCTGGAAGGAAGTCAGCATTACACACACTCTTTGGCCTGGGAAGGTCTGAGAACCCTTTAAATACTTGGCTCAGAAATGGCTCTTTTCCTTTTATCTAGGAGGTTTTTGCTTTCCTGTTAAGTTCATTAAACTTCTGTTTTGTCTTCCTCATGCCCTTTTGCCAGCATCTAGCCTTTCCATGAAGACACTAGTTCAATAACCATCATTTATAGTGTCAAGCTTAGGTTGCTACTGTTTGTTTGCCAAGTGCAGCTGCAACAGGCTGCCCA